GTATGCTTTCATCTTAGTATCTTCAAACTGCAAGTGTTGTGTTATATAAAAATATTAAAGTTGCATTCTAAAATAAATTATTGCTTTAATAGTTGTGTTACAATGCCAAAATATTGCAAGAAAATGACCATTTTCCAAATAACTTTCATGTATTTTTTTGAAACGTTATTGCAATCTCTTGCCCTAAAACCTTGGATGAGGAACATGTAATTATTATTCTTTAGAGCGTGACTTGATTTTCATACTATTACCATTCAGATTTGGAAAAAAATTGACTCTGGGTAGTGTGTCTCACCACGTATACAACATCCAGATTTTAATTTCATAGTTCAATTGAGGTGTTCTTTTCTTGTTTTGGAACTGTAGAAGAAGTGAAGTAATGAGAAATCCAGTATTTAAAAACGTTTAAAAATATAGATGAACATTTTCTCTGCATGTATCTTTTGAGGGAGGAAAAAGTCCAACAAATGTTGACATCTAAAATTAACTTTTCAAAAAAAAGTTTGTTGCAAGTAAATATGGAGTAACAGCAAGAGCTTTTTTTCTTGTTTTGCTTTTGGGGTTTTGTACCTCTCTCTGCTGCTTTTAATGAGTGTCCTACTTTGCCTCAGCAATCTTTTGGTGTTTTTCTGGTTCACCGAAAGTGCTACAGAGTTTAGCGTTTTAACAGGGTCAAAGTCCTGTCTCGCACAGTAGACTAAACCTTAATTTTCTTTTATTATAGTGATAGCTGCTTTAAATTCCGAAAGATAAAAGATGCTGTAGAGTTTTTTAGACTGTTCTATACTTCCCCATTAAGCGCTTAATCATTTAATTCATGGAGCTAATTTAAAGCTAAGAAAGTATTGTAAAACTACAGTATTTCTTTTTTTCAAAATGCTTTTCATGTCATGCTGACTTGTTCCAGAAGAACTTCAGCAGGACAAAAATAATGTTTTATTGTGTGAGAATTGCCTTAGGCATCTTGTTTCCAAACTTTCATCTCTAGAGCCTCATTGAGGAAAGTGTGAAAATCAAGTTGTACTCGCTCACTGTTTTCATTTGCTGCTTGCAGTCTAACCTTAAAGGATGGCCTGAAGTGATCACCTACCACTGGTCTGTTACACTATTTGGGGACTGACAGAACTTCTTCACTTAGCGAGAGCACTTGAACTTACTTCTATGCCTGAAGTAAAAGGCTTCAGAAAGCAGCCCTGTAGAAGAGCCATTAAGAGTTTAAAGCTGTCCCTTCAACTAGCACTTGCAGCAGTTTATAGTGCCTGATGACTGATGGTGAATGCTTCCAGCATGGAGAGTTTCTCTCCTCTGCTGGCTGAACAGCTCCTCTCAGCCCTCTTCCAGTTGTCTGTGCAGATCAGCCTCTCCTGACCCCTCCTGCAATGTCTCTTCTACACTGCAGCTCTCACCTTCTCCCATACGCTTCTGAACACAGCACAAAGTTCATCAATAAAAAGTAAATAATTATATCTTTTTTCGCTACTTCTAGTTTATTTAAAACAGTCTCTTTCATAGCAGACTATGGAGTCTAGCAGCACTGCAGCATCTCTTTTTGCCTTGGTATGTTTATTAGCATATAAACATAAGTTTAGTGTAAAAATTACTTATGATGCTAAAAACCTGAGCAGCTGATTAAATTGTTCCTTTCTAGAGTGCTTTGTCCTTGCGTCATAATCTATTTTACCATGTGTCTGTTAAAAAAAAAAGCCCAGAAAACATATATATATATAGTGGTATATCTGTTCCTTGAAAGAGCTGAAGATTTTACTGGGCTGTTTGGATTAGGAAAGTTTCTGGTAGGTGTAATTGTGATACATTCTGCACTTTTTTTGCTGTGTCAAAAGTATGGATATGTTGTATTGTGGTTAACAGGAAAAGTGGGGAAGATGATCCAGGTCACCAAAGGTCTGAAATGCCTTTGCAGATATCTAGGCTTGTCCATAGCATTATGTCAGGATGGGGAAATTGTTCATAGTTCAGATACTTCAGCTGGATGCCTCAAGTTGAGCATGTCTAAGTGATACAAAGCTCCTTGTCATTATTAGAAAAGCTCGTGTTGCTTTTTTATGTTTTTCTGCCTCTTTCTGCATCTTCCATGGCACCTGCACTAGACAAAGAAAGATGCATGATATGTAATTAACAACTAAACATATGATGATTGACAACTATTCTAAAAGGCAAAATAATTGAATTGAAAAAAAAAAAACCAACCCAAAAAAAACCCCAAAAACCCAAAACTGACAACAAACAAACAAATCCTCCTGAATCCCTCACCCACCCCATCTCTCCAAAAAAACAACCCAAACGCAACAACAAAGAAACCGCCTTTTCTACTTTTTTGTCTCTTGTTCCTAGATAATGGCAATAATCAGATACTGGCTTTATTTTTCATTATTCTTACCTTTTAAGAATTTATTTTCCTGTATTTCTGTCCTTATTTGACTGAAATTGGCAATCAGTTCAAAACCTCTCAGGTAGAGATGCTAGCAGATTGCATAAGTTTGAGAAATTCAAATAAGAAAGGATTCATTTGCTTTTTAGCACTGGCAAGAAATGCGAGTATTGCTTCTCTTCTCTCATTTCCTTGAAGAAATCCAAGTTGACGTTGCTGAAATGTGATGTTTTTTCTCCTTAATAGAAAATACTGGTGCTGAAATACAACAAGTTCTGGGTTAAAGGGCTAAGTGTGCCAGTTAGAAGCAATCAAAATACAATTTGAATGGGAAATGTTAAAAAGTGTTAGTTGCAATTTCTGATGATGAAATGTAGTCCAAACCAGACTTTTAATGCTACCTTATTTTGTTCTTTGGGGGGTTTGATTTTTTTTTTTCCCCTCTATGTAGTCTTTCAACATACTGTGCTCTTTTTTTTAAAGTGAGCAGTATCTATGGCATTTGTGGTTTAGTTTCAAAGAAAACCAGACATGTACATCTGAAATGTGTTTGAAATCAAGAGTTCAAGGACAGGGTGTTGAATGGGCTTGCAGACCTAATGACTGGGTGGCAAACAATATAAACAAGCTATTTTAAGACTTTTTTCTTTTTAATAGAATTGGCCAATGTTACTTTAAAAAAAAAACAAGTTATATTAAAAATCTTTCATCTTGACATTTCCAAAAAGTGAACAGTTTCCATTTGCAACAGAAAGTAGCTGCTGTGGACTACCTAGACCTGAAGAAAAGGTTGGGAGTCTGTAAAAGGCAAGTGTCTAAAATACTGCATTGGTCTCTTGAGAACATGAAGCACATATTTACCACTGTTCCCAGTGTTATATTGGGGCAAGCTTCTGCTGATGAAATTGCAGGACTAATCCTGTAAATAGACAAAATAAGAGGAAATTAGCAACAATCAAGTAAATTGGGGAAAAAATATTTCTTAACAGCTGTCAGTGCTAAATTGAAACAAACCTGATAAATTGCAGTGAAGAAAACCTAACTTTTGCTCAGAAGTAATATATTTATATATATATATATATAAAGTAAAATAGCTCAGACTATTTCTCAGGCTACTTCAGGATGGGAGAGACAGATGAACCTTCTGCACCAGAAAGGTTGAAATGAGCCTTTTGAAGTGAAGGCTGAATCCAAGGTGCTTGTTGCACTTGACAATCTGTTTCACATTCACCTTTTCTGGTGACAATATGTGCAGATCTCAAATGGAGTATACCCAGGCACTTGAGAAACACTCCAGCCAGACTGCTGCAAGCCCAGCTGCTTGCAGGTGTACCAAGGCTCCTGTCTGGCAGAGGAAATTGCCACTTCCAGAGGGCAATTGTTTTTCTGGAATAGGTTAGACAATGTACAGTTACAAATACCTTCATTCTGCCTTCTGTTTCTCTCGTATTTTACAATTGCCTGTTTGTTGGATCTGAGAGATAATTAAGTAATTTAAAAGATTAATTGGTTTCATAACTGAATTTGCATTCCAGGGATTCTGGAATTGCAGGAAGCTATTCATGCAAAAAATGCCTTTGTGTTAGTTCTAAATAGCTCTATAAATGTGAGACCTTAATGGTTTTATGACTGTAGCCTTTAAACAAATAGCTCATCTGCCTTCAACATAATTAATTATTTTAAACATTTAGGGTGAGATTGATTGTCAAAGGTGATTAAGATGTTTTTATCTAATATTTTTTAAATACAAGATTTATAATTTAATTAAGATGTTGCTAGCCAGCTGTCTTTTACATGGAAGAAAATATTCTCTTTGTATACTTGTTTAATTAACAGTAGTTATGGGTAATAGATCCATTGAAGGCTTTCATTGTAGCACAGACAAAAAAAGATTAATAGCTGAGTTTGTAATTTTTTTTAATGTTTAAACCAAATGTTATAAACAAACTCATAAGTTCCTTGTCATAGCGCTTATATGGGCAATTTCATCTGTTTTTTATTAATATTGATAGGTCTCAAGGCACAGACTGGGGTACTATGGTGTAATGGGTGTCACTTTGTGGTGCAGTGTAATCCTCTCTAATTTTCTTCTGATGTAATAAGAACTTGGAAATTGGGGAGGGGAAATATTTATATAAGCAAATACCACTTGCATTTCCCCTAAGTCTCAGCTTTTTTCAGGTGGAGAATGTGTGCTTTTATTTTGGTTTTGACCTAGATGACAATAAGTAATTACAAAGACATCATTTTTTTGCTGTAGATTGATGTATGTGGAAATGTTTGTACATGGAATACTGATTTAATTTACTGGATGCAGGTTTCTCATAGTTTCTTCTAGTTAGCTTGTATCTGTTGTTCATGAAGTTAGTTTATATGTAAACTGAATTTCTCATATAGCTGTTTATTGTTGGGATGTTTCCAGGATTTTCTTTGAGATAAAATCTTCCATTTTATTAAAAACACTCTAGACAACAGCTGCTAAGCTTGGGATATATGATTTGATTTCCTTTCAAGTTTCAAATATATTTCCTTGGAATTTAGAATCCAGTGAGCTTTACCTATCTCATCTTCCTTGACTTCAGTTTTACATTTTGTTCCATTTTGTTTGTAGGTGCTCTCCCCACTTTCCTGGTTGCACAGTGGGACTTTTCCCACTGCTGCTGATGCCCAGATGGTTTCCTTGCGGGAGGAGCAGCCTCAGCCATTCCGTGGGTGAGTAGAGGCCATTGGGATGGAGGCATGGACAGGAGTGCCTCTCCTCCTACTTGCCCCTATTCTCTTCTTGCCAGGCAGCCTGGGAATTCCTCTCAAACTCTCCCTGTTTGGCACGCAGCATTTGCATTTCCCTCCAGTTTACAGGCATGGTGGAGGAGGTCTTTCAACAAAAGTTTTTATCTGGAGAAAAACTCTTAATAGCTTCCCAGTCATGTGGCAGCTCCTGGTTAGTCTGTTAAGTGCAGGGAGGAAGAAGCATCCTTTCCCATGGGCCTCTCAGTGTCTGTGCTTCCTTCCAGCAGAAATCTTGGTCACAAAGCTAGAAGACCACCGAGTGTTACAGGTCATGGCTTGAATGTATTCTGGTGCTTCCTCTGTTTCTCTTCTTCATCGATCTGTCACTGGTGAAATCTGGAGTCCTGCTTTGTTAGTAGGAATTGATGGAGATGTGCAGGACTGCTAGTTAGCAATGGGTGTGGGAAGAGCCAACAAAACTTCATATTTTTTTCAGTTTGTTTGGGTTTTTTTTTTGGTTTTTTTTTGCAGTAGAGCTCCTGTAACCTGTATGTTTTTGGAGGTGCCTAGCTAAAAGAAAATCATAGGTGGAAAACAATATATTCATTTCTGCTTCTTTTTAAAGACCAATTTCTTATCTTTTGTCTGAAGTAGTTCAACAAGATGCTTAATCACTGATCATGAAGTTTTTCATGTTGGTTGGAAGTAGTGCTTTGAAATGGTGCTTGATTCAACTAGTTAGACAAGCTTTTTCAAACTATCAAGGTTTTGCTTTCCTTAAGTGGTGGGATTAAGTCACCTTCACGCTGAGCATTACTTTGTTAGGTAGTAGCTCCTTTCAGGACTTGCATAATGCTGTCTTTAAAATAAACCAGTGTAGTTCAAAAGCTATATAGTAGCTGTTAGTACAAAATGAGCATCTGAGAGGTTCATATACCCAGGATTTAGTGACAATAATCTGTTAAAGCATTTAGCAAATGGGTGCTTGAGTTTGTGGACCAGCACTAGATAATAATTTGTGGCGACTGCAAAGCTACCTAAATGAGAGTGTAAATAAGGTGGTGGTAAAAGGACCATTGCCATTCCTTAGCATCTTCCATTACTTAAAATAAGCACCTCACATCTACAAAAAATGTGTAAGCAAGCAAAGTAGAATAAGAGGAGACTTCTGAAGTAAATGTACTTTGAGGTGGAGAAGGCTTTCATGGTACCTGCGTAAGTAATTTTTTACCTTATACAAAGATGATTTCATCTTCTTTAAGACTAGCTCATTTATTAGAATGTCTGTTCATTTGCCTAATTAAATAGTACTCAAATTTAGGCACTCAACATTTGAGTTGAGTACTATTTTGTAGAATTCTATATTATATACAAGGCTGTGGTCAATTAAAATAGACTTAGTGAATCCTTATTCAGGGCAATGTAAGAAATATTAAATTCAGATTAAAAACTAATGTATTGTTTACAAAATGGGATTTACTTTACTCATGTTATGTTGGAGCTTTTCTCATTTCTAGTTGTAGATATGAAAACTTTGAAGAAATTTTGTCTTCAGTTCCTTTACACTTTTTATGGCCAATGTTTCTATACTGCTGTCTTGATCTTGATCGTACATTACTTCTTGTTATCATTTACTTTTTCTCTCTACTTAATTTTGGTAGTAAAACTCCTTCCAAAAAATATCTGTTAGCATGTGCTGTTTGAACTGTTGTCCAGTCGTCCAGTGTTAAGTAATATATTGCTGCTGTTGTATTAATGTTAGAAAATACAGGAGATTTAAAAAAAAATCAGTTACTGATATTGTCTAGGGTGGTAAATCATAACAGATACTATTTGGAGATGCTTGTGCCTTGTTCTTTTAATGAGTTCTGCAGACAGCTATAGCACTGTTTTATGTGTTAAATAATGAATGGTGGTGGTGTTAAAATTATAGTAAGAGTGGCTAAGTGGTGACTTACATCTTTGTGCTTGTTTTTTGAATGTCTTGATCCAAAAAGTCACTTAATACAAGTTAGAGACTAAGTGTTATCTGTACTCAAACTACTGTTATGTAGTCACTTTTATCAATCTTTTTTGTTGATATTGCTACTGATTCTGGCTAATTGAATTATATTTTAGATAGATGCAAGATTTGGGGAGGGGTGGGATGCTCTTATCTATTAAAACTGACCTGGTCAATGCACAAATACCACATCTACATAGTGAATGTAGCTATTTGGTGTCTGTGAAAGGAATCATCTCTGTGCTAAGTGTCTGATGTGATGATTTTTAGAACTCCATTGCACAATTATGTCCCTTTGCTCTGTGTAAAGATCTTTGCAGTATGAAGCAACATACTACACATTTTTCAGAAATGTATCTCGAAATCATTTTTCACTATTAGAATGAAGGCTGAAGGTGGTACAAAAATTGCCTTTGATGCATTTATTTTCAATCCCACCATAAAAAGCTGATCAGAGAGAGAAATGGTAGGTGTGTGCTTGTGTTTATTTGCAGTGTTTGACTTCTTAGCAAGCAACAGGAGTGATTTCTGTTGCAGAGAAACTGATAGTGGGCAGGTGGCCAAAGCTACTTTGGCTTGCTGAGATGCCACTAAGGAGCAGGATGCTGACTGAGTCCAGCTCGGGATTGTTTTGGGCTGTAAGTGAGCAAGCAGCCCTGCCAGCTTTCCCTCTGCTCCATGCAAAGCCACGGTGCCAGCTGCCTGCAGGAGTGGTGTGGGGGTCGGACGCCTTCCCTGGCACTGCCCCAGGTAGAGATCTGAGCTGTGGTGTTAATCCTCCTCTGTTTACCCTGCCTGGCACCAAGGGAGAATTTTCGTGTTTACTGCGTCACTGAATAAAAGCCATTTACACTGTATAATGCTCCTTCTCAATTTTATCACCTCTTCCACTCCTTTAAACTTCTCCCAAACTAGGTTTTTGCACGTCTGATGGTAAATGTTCTTGGTAGCACAAGACCTTATTTTTGATACTGATTTGACCTTCAGGCAGTATTGTGTTGGTCTGCTCAGCTGCCCAGCTAAACCATCTGATATTCTGCTCAGCTCTGTGTATTTCATATCACTATCATAATTAAAAATAACAGTAGAAGTTAATTTGAATATTTCTTCTCTTTTATGGGCAAAGTGGATGAGTTCATTGCTTGTTTGGTTCTGGCAGTAACATTTAATGGAGGAAGCAGATGCTTGGAGCAGGCATGTGAAACATGCTGAGGGCTGCTTGGGGGGGGGAAGGAGGCTTTGAGCTGCTGGCACGTTTGTTTTGTTCTCAATTCACAGCTTCCATCGTGTTTCTGAGCACCACACTCTGTGCCAGGCTGATCAAAACACTGACTTTTTCTCCGTTAGCTGCATCTTTGATTTCTTAGCTCCCTGTGGCTTCTGTGGTGCTGTTGGTCCCATCAGGAGGCCAGGCCAGGGAAGTTTGCACAGGGAATGCCTGCGGTCAGTGCCAATGGTTCTCTCTATGCAGCTCTGCCTGTTTGACCAACAGGAGTATTCTCAGTCTTTGCTGTGTTCTGCAGTTGTGCTGTTCCTCATGATCTATCCAGGGTAATTGACTCTTCACAAATGTGTGGTACCCCTGAGTAACTCTTCTGTCTCCAGACGAAACAAGTGTTTCTTGTTGGCTTACTTTTAGCCACTTCAGTGATGCTGCCTGAGGGAGGCATTCTTGGTGTTCTCTGTAGGCCTAGTGCAATAGCAAGCACCTTTTCTTTTCAATAGAGTTTTTTTTAATTGATCTTGATGTGTGTTACTTTCTCATCTGCATTTGTGGTGATGCAGAGAAATTAGAATATGACTGATGAGATTTGAATACTCTAGAAATATATTTTTTGAAGAGTAGCATGTTTTTTCTGGAGGTACAGATCTTTTTTTCCCAGTGATCTTTATGCTTCTGATTTACTGTTAACAATAATAGGACAAAAATCCACTAATACGTTTCATAGTTGTTATCAGTAGCAGAAGCTATATGAATAATATCATAGCAAAATCAATAATGATTTTAATGAGTGAGTTTTCCATAATGTCATAATGTTCTGGGGGGCTGTTTTGTTCATATACACGTGTGTGTGTGTGTGTGTGTGTGTGTGCGCACATATATACAAACATAAACTAAACCTACACACCCAACTGACTACAATTTCATAATGTGATGCAGCAGTTTCATAACCTGTCTAAAGTAGCCCATTGCTTCTGTATAATTTCAAAGAACAAATGCATGTTTTTCCAATGTTATGCATAGTTCAGCATGGTTAGAAATACCTGGGGTAACCCAGTGTGCTGGAGAGAAAAATACAATGGTAATGGAAGAGAGGTGGTGTCTGTCTTGTTTTCCTCAAAGTTAAACAGTCTGAAATTAGTAATATAAGAATTGCTTTTTTGTTGTTGTTGTTATTGCAATCAATGATATTTAGCTTAATTTATTGTAGAGTAGAATTAAGGCACGCTTCTTTATATGTTATGGAGCTCCTATATGGTGGTACTGAAGGGATTATATATCCAGGATTAAATAAATTTGTTATAAGCCATGGAAATTTCCCGTTCTCTGAACCTCTATTTGTGTAAACAGATTGAGAATTTTATTGATTAATATTTTTCTCTCAACAAGATTTAATAATTTCTTTGCTTTCTTCCATCCTTCCAACATAGAGTAGAATATTAAACATTCTTTGTATGCAACATTTGTTTACAGTTTGAACTAGTAAAAAAAATTTCCAGGTGACTGTTTGCATATTGTATTTACATTTGTACATACATTTTCTTTTGCTGTTTATGTGTGAAGAGCTGTTACTGGCTATGCATATGGATATTAAATAATTTTGAAGCTTTGATTTTGATTATTAATCAGAAAATTATTGGCAAAAATGTTTGAAGAGTAAGATAAATTTGCAACACAGGAAATGTAATTCTAGGACAAAATGAAGCTCTGCAGTAAAATTTTTTAAA